CAACCCGAATAGAAGACATCTTCACAACTGGCGAGAAGATTTCATCAAAGTCAATACCTTTCTTTTACCCAAAGCCTTTCACAACAAGACGTGCTTTGTACCTTAGATGCTTACTATCATTCTTCAATTTGAAAACCCACTTATTTTTCAAAATTTTCCTTCCTTTAGGAAACTTCACTAAATCATAAGTGTGATTTTCAAGTAAGGAATTCATCTCCTCTTCCATGGCCTTTTTCCAATCATCTTTCTTTGTATTCTCAACTGCTTCTTGGTAGCTCTCAGGCTCCCCTTGATCGGAAATCAACACAAATTCATTGGGAGGATACTTTCTTGAAGGTTGTCGGTCCCTTGTAGATTTCCTCAACTCAAGTTGTGGTGGCGGTTCTTGAGTTTGATGCTCTTCCTCAATTTCTGGCTCAACTTCATTAGGATTAGCATCATCCTCCACATCTTCAATAGGTGGCTGCTTATCTCCCCCATTTTCATCATCAACTGAAGATGAAGGAGATGGATCCATGTCAATGAGATCTTTAGATTTTGGCTCCGATTGATCACCTTTGCCAAAGTCTTCGATTATTTGGTCTTCAAGAAACACAACATCACGACTTCGAATGACTTTCTTGTCGACTGGATCCCATAATCTATACCCGAATTCATCACGCCCATAGCCAAGAAAAATGCATTGTCTTGACTTACTATCAAGCTTGGACCTCTCATCCTTTGAAATGTGAACAAAAACTCTGCAACCAAACACTCTCAAGTGCTCATAAGATACATCTTTACCGGTCCAAACTCTTTCTGGAACATCACCATTTAAAGGATAAAAAGGAGACAAATTGATCACGTCAACCGCTGTACTCATTGCCTCACCCCAAAAGGATCTTGGCAATTTAGCTTGTGAAAGCAAACACCTTGTTCTTTCCACAATGATGCAGTTCATCCTCTCGGCAACGCCATTTTGTTGAGGAGTCTTCTTAACTGTCTTTTGGTGCCGAATACCTTGGCTGCGACAATACTCATCAAATGGCCCAATGTATTCACCACCATTGTCAAAATTCCACAAAAATATATTCTA